TTTTCTAATTTTTTCTATTTGCACTGATCCTTCACAGGCCTCATCCATTTCAGTGCTTTTGTTCACTGTAAATGATTTCAGAATCTTTGAATGTCCAAATGCTCATTGGGCCTTGCTGCTTGCAGATATCATCACTGGCTGGAAACTAACCAACACATTCCCCTGAGCTCATCCTCCCTGCTCGTCAGCTCTCTCTCTCTCTGTTTTCCTGTGTAGTAGAGTTACTACCAGTTCGCAGACATTTAAGAGCCAGCCTTGGGATCGTCTCTTCTTTCATACCATTCTCCAAAGATCTTGTGGAGCCGTAATTCCCGTGCACATTGCTGCCCCTGGCTGCCCACGCCTCCAACCCAGCTTTCCTGGCCTCTCATCAGTTCCTGGCACAGACAGTTGGCCAACTTCTCTGCAGCCCGGCTCCCTCCTACTAAATGATTCCTAACCTGCCTGAATTGATCTCACCACTGCGTTCACTGTCTTCTCCCCTGCTCCGTAACCTACCGCTTCAGCCCAAAGTCCTTCCCGGGTTTTTAAGCCCCTGCTCAGGGGGACTTCTCCATTCTGACATCAACACCCATCAAAGGCAACAATGAAGGAGTCCTCCCACCCTCCCACAAACTGGTTTGCGGTCTTTGATTTTTGTTGTTGTTGTTTCTGTTGGTTGGTTGATTGGTTGGTTGATCTGGCATCACAGCCTGTGAACTCTTAGTTCCCTGACCAGGGATTGAACACTCACCCCCTGCACTGGAAGCACAGAGTTTTAACCACTGGACGTTCAGGGAAGTCCCAGGTTTGCAGTCTTTGCCTTTTGTTCACACACTTCCATTCATTCAGTAGTTTGGGGGCCGGGGGGACGACAGCCCTGTCCCAGGCACGGTCACCTTAGATATCCCTCACCTCCTGTCCCAGCCCTATACAGCTCTCAAAGCTCAAGCCAGGTCCCCATCCACTTTGCCCCAGGTCCACACATGATCACTGGTCCCTTTCCTCTGAACTCCCAGGGAGCTTGTAGACAAGTCCCATAATTTAGCTCTTAGTTATGTATGTGGCAGGGGATTTCCTGATTAAGTTGTACGTGCTATTTGTCTTGAGTTTTGTGAAAGCAAAACTTAACCTACACCTGACATCAAATGCAAGGCTGGGCTTGGGTGCTGACCCACTAATTATTAATTACTGTGCTGTGCTGTGCTAAGTCACCTCAGTCCAGTCTGACTCTGTGACCCCACGGACTGTAGCCCGCCAGGCTCCTCTGTCCATGGGATTCTCCAGGCAAGAATACTGAAGTGAGTTATCATGCCCTCCTCCAAGGTAATCACTATATTTCACTGCTTTCTGTTCTCTGACCCAGACACTTACTGTGCTAAGTAGGCACTTTGTATACACTTACCTCTGTGAGGTTGATATTATTGTCTTTTTTTTTTTACAGGTGGGGAAACTGAAACTCAGAGAAATTAAGTGACTTGGTGAAATTTCCATAGTTGCTAAGTAGCTAAACTTGAATTTAAGTCTAGGTATGATGTTATCAAAAATGGTATGTTCACAACCATACCTGAGTAATGGGTAATTCTTAAAAAAAAAAAAATCATGCACAGTTGACTTCAGAAAATGTGTGGATGTGTGTATTTAAGGGGGAGTTGGCCTCTCTTTTTAAGTTATAAGCTATTATTTCAACTAACCTTGATTCTCCTAGGTGCAGGTTTCCTGGGTGGCACGAGTGTAAAGGACCCACCTGCCAATGCAGGAGGCATAAGAGATGTGGGTTCGATCCCTGAGTTGGGAAGATCCCCTGGAGGAGAGCATGGCAACTCACTCCAGTGTTCTTGCCGGGAGAATCCCATGGATAGAGGAGCTTGACAGGCTACAGTCCATAGGGTCACAAAGAGTCAGACACGACTGAAGTGACTTAGCACACACACACTCCTAGGTATAGAGCCTTTTTTTTTTTTATCCCCCGCTGAGGTAGCCCTGCACAGCTGTGGGGATTCAGGGTGAGGTTGAACTAAGTATGAGTTATCAAACTTTGCTGTGTTTGAGACAGAAAGTTTATTTTTTAAATGCATATTCTGGGGTTCTACCTCTCGGATAATATGATTCACTTGTGAAAAGGCATCTTACATACCCCAAGAGCAATTATTTTCAGATGAACTGTGTGTGGTTTTGGTATTTGGGGGACTTAATTCTTAAGTCTATTTTCCGAATAACGTGAAATTCAGACTTTAAAAATGCCCCTCACACACACACACACAAGTTGGAAACCTGAAACAGGTTCTATTTATTTATTTATTTGGGAGATTCAGTTTAACTATTGTTATTATTCAGTCACTCAGTTGTATCTGACTCTTTGCGACCCCATGAACTGCAGCACACCAGGCTTCCCTGTCCTTCACTATCTCCCAGAGTTTGCTCAAACTCATGTCCGTTGAGTCAATGATGTCATCCAATCATTTCATCCTCTGTTACTTCCTTCTCCTCCTGCCCCCAATCCCTCCCAGCATCAGGGTCTTTTCCAATGAGTCTGCTCTTCGCATCAGGTGGCCAATGTACTGGAGCTTCAGCTTCATCAGTCCTTCCAGTGAATATTCAGGGTTGATTTCCTTTAGGACTGACTGGTTTGATCTTGCTGTCCAAGGGACTCTCAAGAGTCTTCTCCAGCACCACAGTTCGAATTTCAAGTCTCCAATGAAGAAAAGGATGGATGACAAGTCAGGCAGTCTTAAAGAGTTTATGTCCCTGTAGCAGAGATTCCAGCAAGAGCAGCAACAGCTCCCATATCAGGAAAACAACATGAAACGACAGCGATGAGGAAGTCCTTGAACATCATAGTTCAAGGCGGTTTTATGTTTACTGAGCATCTTCTGTGTGCTGAGTACTAAAACCTCCAGCCTGGAGAAAAATGTGGTGTGGGCAGAGAACAGATAAGACTCATGCATAGGGACTTCTTAAGTTCCTAACTTCTCTAAGTTCAGTAGGTCCAGGATATTACTTTATGAGCCAAAGTGAGAAAAAAAAATTCAAGGAGTGATAGTGGTGGATGACTCAGAAAGGATTCAAGATAAGAGTTTCTTAGAGATGGTCAGAATGAGGTCATTGGCAGCTTGAGTGATAACTACTTCCTGGACTGGTGGGTGTGGAGGGGTGCTGAGTAGCAGGGGTGGTTCCTCAAGTAAGATCTTGAAGTCTGGCTACAGGAGGTACAAGAACTGGTTGGTTTTAGAACAAGCACCTGCTTCAGCCTAGTCTGGAAATACCTCAGATGACAAAAGCCAGTGTTAATGGGGGCAGGCTGTATGCCTTATACTTTTCATGTCATCGAATCCCTCTATCAACCTCTGCAGTAAGTACTGTTTTTATACCCATTTCACAGGTAAGGAAATTGAGGCACAGAAAGTTTAAGTGACTCGCCTATCACACGGCTGGTAAAGTGCAGCACAGGAATGAGAGCCCTGGTTCTTCTCCTCCAGGTCCTGCACTCCCAAGTGCTGGGTGATATTTACCCACACTGAGTAGTCTCTGGACACATCAGTAAATCTCAATTCATTTGTCACTTGGTCTTGTTATTGTTTCCACGTCAACTTATGGAAGCAAGTGAGTACAGGAGGGCAATTTGCCTGTGTTCACTTAGAAAGATGGCAGGAGAGAGAGGCACCCATCAGAGTATGAGTTACTCTCACAGGACTTAAAGTGGCTGGACACAGGGATCTTGAGGTTTTAGCACTGCGTGAAACAGCTAGACAGCCAAGATGAACCAGGGACTCTGCACCCATTAGAAAGAGCAAACTTTTATGGACTTCCCTGGTGATCTAGTGGTTAAGACTCTGCTTCTACTGCAGGGTGTGCAGGTTCGATCTCTGGTTGAGGAACTAAGATCTCACATGCCATGCAGCACAGTAAAAACAACAACAATAACAACAGTCATTTAGCTAGTCTCCAGCCCATACCCACCTCAGCATTCCTGATGACCCCCAAAAAAGAAAGCTATATTTGAGAAGAAATGACTTTTTTTTCACTCTCTGAATATTTAGAAAATGTTGGGGTTTCAAAGCCTTTCCCCAGGCCCAGATGGATGGAAAGTTCATTTGAAACCAGTAACATACTACCTAACATTATTTTTAATATATATTTTAATAATATACTAATAGTATATAATAATTACATATAATAATACAGTATTATACTAATAATGTATGCATATATATTACATATACACATACACAGATATATACATACACCCACGCAAAGTGCATTGGTCATTTTGGGTTTAGCTTTGAGTTATTAAAAGGAAAAACACAGCCTAAGCATAAAGGGCTGTAATTTGCTTCTTTTTTATCCTAAGTTAAGGACATTGCTTTATCAGCTTGGAGTGTGTGTGACTGACCTATTGGCCTTTCTCTGTCCAGGAGTGAAAATATGTGCTTTGAAAATGTGTGTACATGGGCAAAGAGAAAACTGGAAGGATAATTGTCATAATGATGGAGTAATAAAACCAGGCCCTGATTTTTGTGACTATGGTCATTGCTGCTTCTACAACTGTCACAGCATAAGGAAAATGGTGTGAAACATCCATAGAGAAGTTGAAAGGAGACCTTATTGTCTGTTGAAGAAAAATTGTGGCATCAGCTTTGGCTGCGCTATGAGGGCCACAGTTGAGGATAAAAGGGGTATACATGTCCACCTTCCCAAGGCCATCTGTGTTGTGCACCGTTAAAAGGGATGTGCTGGGAGTTCTGTTGTGGTCCAGTGGTTAAGACTCATGCTTGCACTGCAGGGGGCGTAGGTTTAACCCCTGGTTGGGAAACAGATCCCACTGCCACTACGTGGTATGGCAAAAAAAAATTAAAATATGTACTGGTTATAGTGCGTAAGGCCTAATACTATGTAAGTATTCTAGAGGAACTTACTTTTTTTTTTGGCTTTCCTGGTGGTTCAGATGGTAAAGAATCTGCCTGCAATCAATCCCTGGGTTGGGAAGATTCCTCTGGAGAAGGGAATGGCAACCCACTCTAGTATTCTTGCCTGGAAAATTCCACAGACCGAAGAGCCTGGTGGGCGACAGTCCACGGGGTCAAAAAGAGTCGAATTACAAACTTCACAAAGTTTGTTTTTTTTTAAATAATTTTGAATGATTGCCTCCTAATTTATCTTTTGTAAGGGATATAGCATTCCATACAAAATGTTTTTAAAGCTCAGTAACAGACATGAATGGTTATTAGCAATAGGAGATAATTACTCTGGAGAATCAACATGGAGAATCACATATTGCCTTCCGCTGTTTTGGAAGTCATATTGGGCAGGGAGGCACTGCTATTAAGCCTCAAGGCTGTGCCTTTACCTGTAAAAGTCAGCTCCTTGCAGTGTCCTGGTCTGGAACCCAGCCTGCCTGGCTTTTCTCCTTCAGTTCATTCTGTGTCACTGTGCAGCTCAAAAATGCGCTGAGGTCATGTGTGGTTAAGAGGAGAATTTACCATAGTCATTTTCCCTCCTGACCTACCTATTATAAGACAGTCTACAGAGATTTGCAAACTTCGTTTTCTTTCAGAAGGCACAAGGGGCTGCCATCTACTGGGCTCCGCCGAGGGTAGGGGAGTGGAGAGTGGGAGGGAGGCAGGGAGCGGGCGTGGAATCCTGACCTCAGAGGGGGCTGTGAGGTGGTGCCGTCCTGCACACACCATCCCTGGGGGCGCCTGAGGATGCAGCACTGGCTTCGGTCCAGGTACATTGGAGGCAGTCCTAGAAGTACGGACATCCATCATGCTTAGTAAGATCTTAGGTTGTAAGGGCTGCCTTGAGCCTGCAGACATTTTTTATACAACTCACAAGCCTGAAGAAGCGCTTTCTGCCTCTGCGGCCATATGTTTTTCCAGCTGGACCTCCACCAGTCTTCGCTGTCCAGAGAGTTCTCATTCACTAACCCAAGGGTAGCCCAATGGCTTTGCTGAGGACGGCTGGAAGTGTCAGCAGGAGTCCTGGCCACAGGGAAAAAGCAAGCTACCTGGCTTTGGAGGAGACAAAGTTCTCAACTTGCCAGTCTGTGTCTTCAGATGCTGTGTTTTCCTCACTCAGTTTAAACCTGGAGAAAAGTAAATAAACACATTGAAATATGTGAAAAACATTCTTAGTAGCATGCTTTTTTTTTCCTTCTGTGATTGAGACTTCCTCATCAAACCCAACAGTGGGAAAATGAAAGAACAGCTTTTGTCCTAAGACTAGAATCCACCCACTTATTTACTCTGATTAGCCAGTGACCTCTGGACCCTGTTTTCCATTGTTCATCTTCTATTCACCTGGGGAACTGGGGTTGTTTTTGCTTTTCCAGATGCTGTTTTTCAGATTGGTTGATACGTTGGTTGGAGTTACAACTCTCTGATACCCTTTGGAGTTCTGGCCAAAGGGCCAACGTTCACTTTTCCTAATTCTAACCAAGTTGCTGGGTCTTTACTATTCAGACTTGGTTGCTGCCTTCTTGGTTATTTTTCCTTGGAGTGAGTTTAGGATTCAGTTCCTCATCCTCAAAAGCCCTAACTGGAAAGAAAATCGATCCCGCATTCCCTGTGGAAAACTCCTTGAAAAAACCCACAGGGAATTGAGCTGTTATGGATAAAGCTCTTACTTTTATTGACATATTTATACTTGATTTACACAGAAACGAAGCCCACTTCTTTACTTTAATAGCGTCCTCATTACTTGCTGGTTAGTCTCTGACTACACTTTCCGTCACCTCCCCACCATTCATTGCCCCTCCTTTGCACAACTGTTTTTTTCCAAGCCATCCCCTCGTCGGCACTTGTGCAGGTTTAAAGCTTTTCGCATCACCTGTACACTACAAAGTATGCAGGAGCAAAATGATGTCTCAGATAACATAAAGAGGTCTTAGAACACCCCACACCAGCAGTATAAAATCCAAAATCCTGATAGTATTAGTTTGGGGAGACCAATTAAATTCAGGGATTGCTATGAAATTGTGCAATCTGAATCAGTATTTTTCAAATCAGGCGAGAGAGCAGTATTATGAGGAAATCACACTGATTTTCACTTTCTTTCTGGTTTGTTGGTTTCACAAAATGCTTAAATAAGAATAAAATTACAATATTTCTAAATGGATTGTGCAACTGCTCTGAAGCTTGACAATACACCTCCCAACACTCACAATAATACAAGTGGCATATATCTGGTGGGTTACCCATTAAACGACTGTGACAGATCATATTTCTGGTTAATTGTTAGTTCCTTATGACCTTAGACTTTGCCTGTGTATTTAATAACACCATCTGCTGCCTAGGGTAGCAATGCCACCTTTTAACATGAGGATTACTGTTCTTACTTCGTAAACAACCGTGCTCCATCAGAGGTGTTGAAATTCTACCATAGAATTATTTAAATTATACTACCTATGGAAAGCTCAAAAAAAGAAACTTGACTTTCTTGCTTCTGCTAGCTTTATGGGCTTCTCCTAAAATGTCATAATTTATATACCATAATAAAAGCATAAAAAAGATTTACAAGTTGTATTCTTGATCTGCAAAATGAAATATTTTAAAAAGAACTCTGACTCTGTTGTGCCTGTCTTGTCTGTCTTCTTCCAGGCTAGTTTCTCACTGCATTATCTCTGGGAAATTTCCCAATAAAACAGACGATTAAAAAATAATTCGCACAGAATGAAATGAGATGACATCTTTTTTAAAAAATCATCACCCAAGACCATGCATCTCTGTTCTGGGGCATGTTAAGAATCCTGCTGGTGTTCAAGAAATATGAAAACTTCTGTTACCACGTGGCCTATGATAGGGTAAACGTGGATGGGGTTTTCAGTGGGCCCCTTTGTTTGGGACCCACAGATGCCCCTGGGAAATGAACTCTTGGTGGTCAGTGTGAGGGGTTGAGGGGGTCAGAGTGTCTACTTTAACTTAACCAGGCCCATGCTGTACAGTACACTAATTTAGTGCAATTCTCCAAGTCATGAATCAGAACTGCCTAAAAACAGAGGCTCTCTGGAGTGGGAGAATTATCTTGCACCTACCTGTATCTCCTGCCAGCAAGGGAAGCTGCATCTTTCTGAGGCAGAAGAAAGAAACACCATAGACTTGTTCATTCATTTATTTGCCCTTTAATCCATTGTTAGCCTTGATTACAAAAGGAGCTGAGGGGAATGAAAATTATTGCTTAATTTTACTGGGGAAATGAAAAAAGGTGAAAACTTTTCCCTAGTCGCTGTAATTTTTCATTCCTTAACATGGTGACACTTTTAAACAGCAGGAATGAGCTTTAGAGAATAAAGTATTCTAGGTAGTGTGTGTATGATTTTTTAACTGATGCTGGGAAAGATTGAAGGCAAGAGACGGGGACAACAGAGGATGAGATGGTTGGATAGTATCACCAACTCGATGGACGTGAGTTTGAGCAAACTCGGGGAGAAAGTGAAAGACAGGGAAGCCTGGAGTGCTGTAGTCCGTGGGTTTGCAAAGAGTTGGACATGATTTACTGACTGAACAAATGACAAGGCTCATAGAATTGATCACTATAAATCCAGCACTCACATAACCTACAACTTTATGCTAAAGTGTGGATACTTCACAGAGTATGAGTTTGTTGTTGTCTTTTAATTACTTGGAACGGGAGAGGTTGGCCTGAACACTCATCACATGAGAATAATCAAGAGGTTGTCTGCCAACAGAAAACAATTTCAAAAGTACAGAATGTAGAATTCAGAGCCTACACCACTTGATAGCATCCCCAAAAGGCATGTCCTAACATGTTTTCAGTGTAAGAGAGCTTCAGCATTCCAGGCTTTTAAAAGAATGTCTCCTGTTACAGCTAAAGGGAGCTGCTTGTCCTTTTCCACACTCTGAATTCATGGAATCTGGAAGTCTGATTCTGGAACACTCATTTTCAAATAAATTGAGTCATCTTTATATGAAAACTAGAGAACTTGGCTTTTTTCGCCTGTTTTTGAAGAATAGTTGAAATGAAGCAACAACCACATGTAAACGCTTCCCACCATCACACTTTTTAAATTTATTTTTTTGGTTGCACTGGGTCTTCATTGCTGTTCTCAGCTTTCTCCAGTCGCCGTGCACGGGCTTCCCATTGTGGGGGCTTCTCGTGTTGTGGAGCACAGGCTCTAGGAGCACAGACCTCACTAGCAGTGGTACACGGGCTTAGCTGCTCCATGGCACATGGGATCTTCCTAAATCAGGAATCAAGCGCTTTGTCCCTGCGCTGGCAGGTGAATTCCTATCCACTATACCACCAGGGAAGTCCCCACCACGATTTCTGAAATACGCAGAACTGATGAAGCGTCATTAAGTTTTCTCATAATCAGAACCAAATAAATGAAAGTTGTATAGAAAGCCACAAGTGTAACATTTCACAATGGTTAACAAGAGCACAACAAATTTCAAAACATCAGAATTCCTAGAACTTACTCTCACAACATCTTTCATAAATTCAGTGTATAGCCAGCAAAGAATCACACAGCTATTAAGCAGTGGGATCCTGGGTGAGAATACAAAAAAACCTCAAAACAAGTTTCCACATCCTGCTGACCTATTCAGCCAAAAGCTGGTCAGTGTATGGAATTATTGTTAGGTTTTGTTTTGTTTTTTCCTTCTCTTTTCTTCAACTGTGGCCCTCTTGAGTAATCTGAAGGGCCTGTGGTTAGTATACTGAGTTTTGCCCACCACATATATACATATATATCAGTCTCTTGTGGAAAGAAATATTTTCTATAAGCTTTGAGACACTTTAGTAGGGCATATTAACGCTGATACAGATGCTTTTCCCCTGGCTAACTTAAACTAAGTATAGACTGTGGTTTAGACACTCCTAGCCTGGGATCTGAGCCCAAACCAAGCAGACATATTCTCAGATGATATGATGATCTGGGAGCCATTTAACCTCATAATTTTATCCGATGGCACAAAGCCCCCAAATAGCGAACAGGCACTTACAGTCATTTTTCTGCATTGTTTTGTGATTCCATATGAGTCAGAAGAATGTTGGGCTTGGCTTTGCCACATTCTCCTTGTTTCCATTATCCTCACCCACCATATGAAGGGTCAGAGCAGAAATGGCACCAAGTTCAAAATTCCCTCTTCCAATCAAGCAAAACACAGACCCAGAGTGTTCCAGTCATCTGTGTCAGGTCCCAGCTGCGTGAAGAGAACCCATGGTCTCACAGACATCTCCTGTGCAGATATGTACATGTATGTAAAAGAGAACCTGTGAAAGAAATAGAAATAGGAGGCAGCCCACCAGTGGGCTAAAGAAAGAACTGCAGTTTGGGAAACCTGAATTCTAGCTGTTGTTCGACTATATATTCCTTCGTCTCAAGGCAAGTTCCTTACTGTGCTGGTACCTCAGTTCACCAAATCAGTAAACAGATGCTCATGTCTTAGTCATCATTAAGGATAACGAATTGGTCTGCTAAGGCAAACATGGATAGTAGGTAGGCAGATAGATAAATGGAAAGAAAGAATAAAAGCAGTCTGAAAAAACATTCACAATCTAGCTACTTCTTAAATGCTAAGAGATAACAGCCCCTAGGAAGTTCATAAGTGCTAGCTCCCAGGTGTGTTTCGGAACCAACTTTATCACTCAGGAATTTGCTTAAAGGGCTGAGGAGGCTTGCCATCTAGCCCATCAAAGTTCATTTGTATTTGCATTTTAGCTGTCTGTAACAAGCTTTTTAGTAAACATGTTATATTTAGTCAGTTACTTTTAGGAAATCTATTTCTCTTTTTCTGTCCACCAGCGGTCTTTTGCTAGGGCTCAAACCCAGGCTATCTGCTCCCATGGATTTAGTTTTCTTCTTCTTGGTATGAACTTCAGTTCTGAGTGTGAATCTGAATTCTATGGTTTTGCACTCCCCTTGCCAAAGAGGTACCACCACCATGTGGGCCCAGGAATGGATGTGGTGCCAAAGCAGATTGACGTTCACTCCAATTAACAAATTACAGCCCACAATCAGGCTTTTAAACTTTCCTTTCTTTTCTCCTTCTACAGGGAGTCAGTTTTCTGTGTCTCCTTTATACACAAAACTGACCAAAAAAAAAAAAAAGTTAAAGTTTTCAAATGCTTATTGTTAATATTTGCATCTCTGGATATCACTGGGCTATCACCTACATATATAATTGCTTTAAATAACATTACTTTGTGTGTGTTTGCTAAACACATTAGACCAGGGCAAGTCAGTCGCCAGAACAGATTATAGAAACCCCTATTGGTAGAGGGCAAATTTTCCTGTTGATTGGCATTCTTTTGTGAAATATATTTGCATCTTGTCAAGAGAAAGTCAATCTAGCACATACTGGCTCCCTTCCATTTCATAAGAAATACAAACAATAAAAATGAAACTTCATTTGAATAAGTTACAGTCACTTGGCTTCTGAGAGCCCCTTCATAATGGTGAAATTCCATGAAACATCTGACTTCATGGTTTTTTCTCCTCAGTGCCTTGTAGCCCTGTTGTATTTACCTGTCTGCATGCAGAGTAGCCAGAATTGGAGTCCTATACAAAGAATTAAATGATTTCATGAGACTTCTCTTTTTGTTTTTAGGGAAATAGGGCATAAAGAGTTGGAGGTGCAGTATTCCAATTTGGTGAGTAACCAAACCATTTCCTCGCTCAACTAAATCCTAAAAATGAATTTTATATCCAAACACCAACATCAATTTTTATCTGTAGTTTATAAATTCTAAGTTTCACCAGCATAAAAGGGTCTACCATTTAAGGAGTTCCATACTAGGCATGGCATGCTGGCAAACTGACTCACTTCTACCATATCTCTCTATTTGTTGTGACTGTTGACTTTTCTTTGGATCTACTGTCCTATGAACTATACTAGAATCTTGTTTCCTATAAATACGGGTATAGAGGGGCAAATCTTAACATTCTTTTTGTTAACACTCACAAATGTTAACATTCTTCTTCTAGGCCTCTAAACTGTGCATACATTTTTTTTAAAAATGCAAAATGAACCAACTTTATCACTCAGGAATTTGCTTAAAGGGCTGAGGAGGCTTGCCATCTAGCCCATCAAAGTTCATTTGTATTTGCATTTTAGCTGTCTGTAACAAGCTTTTTAGTAAACATGTTATATTTAGTCAGTTACTTTTAGGAAATCTATTTCTCTTTTTCTGTCCACCAGCGGTCTTTTGCTAGGGCTCAAACCCAGGCTATCTGCTCCCATGGATTTAGTTTTCTTCTTCTTGGTATGAACTTCAGTTCTGAGTGTGAATCTGAATTCTATGGTTTTGCACTCCCCTTGCCAAAGAGGTACCACCACCATGTGGGCCCAGGAATGGATGTGGTGCCAAAGCAGATTGACGTTCACTCCAATTAACAAATTACAGCCCACAATCAGGCTTTTAAACTTTCCTTTCTTTTCTCCTTCTACAGGGAGTCAGTTTTCTGTGTCTCCTTTATACACAAAACTGACCAAAAAAAAAAAAAAGTTAAAGTTTTCAAATGCTTATTGTTAATATTTGCATCTCTGGATATCACTGGGCTATCACCTACATATATAATTGCTTTAAATAACATTACTTTGTGTGTGTTTGCTAAACACATTAGACCAGGGCAAGTCAGTCGCCAGAACAGATTATAGAAACCCCTATTGGTAGAGGGCAAATTTTCCTGTTGATTGGCATTCTTTTGTGAAATATATTTGCATCTTGTCAAGAGAAAGTCAATCTAGCACATACTGGCTCCGTTCCATTTCATAAGAAATACAAACAATAAAAATGAAACTTCATTTGAATAAGTTACAGTCACTTGGCTTCTGAGAGCCCCTTCATAATGGTGAAATTCCATGAAACATCTGACTTCATGGTTTTTTCTCCTCAGTGCCTTGTAGCCCTGTTGTATTTACCTGTCTGCATGCAGAGTAGCCAGAATTGGAGTCCTATACAAAGAATTAAATGATTTCATGAGACTTCTCTTTTTGTTTTTAGGGAAATAGGGCATAAAGAGTTGGAGGTGCAGTATTCCAATTTGGTGAGTAACCAAACCATTTCCTCGCTCAACTAAATCCTAAAAATGAATTTTATATCCAAACACCAACATCAATTTTTATCTGTAGTTTATAAATTCTAAGTTTCACCAGCATAAAAGGGTCTACCATTTAAGGAGTTCCATACTAGGCATGGCATGCTGGCAAACTGACTCACTTCTACCATATCTCTCTATTTGTTGTGACTGTTGACTTTTCTTTGGATCTACTGTCCTATGAACTATACTAGAATCTTGTTTCCTATAAATACGGGTATAGAGGGGCAAATCTTAACATTCTTTTTGTTAACACTCACAAATGTTAACATTCTTCTTCTAGGCCTCTAAACTGTGCATACATTTTTTTTAAAAATGCAAA